CCATCTCTCTACTAGCCTACCTCATTAGTGGGAGATTGCAAACATTAGATTTGATATAATGGAGGTGCATTTTACACACAATAAAATCAGAGTGTAAATTTGATATCTGTATTTGAATAAGTCAGGATAGAAACCTAGAATGTGAAATATGTTGGAGAATTCTTAAAGTTTTCAAATTATTTTCTGTGGAATGTAGTTAATTGCATTCACACATATTTGGTGTGTTAGTCAATATTTATTACGTGAATATCATAACTATCAATTAATTTTGGATTTTTGTATTCAGAACATTGTGTATCATTGAATAATATAAAATTTTATATTTAGGTTAGCCATTGTAGAGATTGTTAAAATAAATAAATTAGTTAATGAAAGTTAAATACACTATTATCAGACCCTAACGTAGATTTACTAAAATCAATTTTTATTTTTTAATAAAAAAGAAGTTGAAGTAGATTACATAAAATTCTAAATTTCATCAAAAGTATTTTGAAAAATACCTTTTAAAAGTTGGTCAATATAGCAAAAGGATTTATCACATTTCTATAAAGGACTTCTCTAATGATTTAGTTTTCATGCTTCAACTGACATGAATCGGGAAAAATAACATAGCAATTGTGATGAAAATGATAATTAAAATAGCTGATATTTATTGAAAACATTATGTGCCAATTTGGCAAATTTTTTTATATGCATTACATTTTATATGCTCTTATGCTCACTTTTTCTTGATAAACGGGATTATAAGATACTGAATAACTTTTTAAAGGGCACACATTATAAACTTCAAAGTCAGAACTGATTCTAGACCTCTCTAACTCCAGATTCCATTGACTAAATTATTAGATTAAATTATCTGAATTATTGCAAATACACAACTAAAATGACCTTGACTCATTTTGGCAGTCATAGAATCTTTTAGTAATGTTAAACCAAGAGAGTTTTTACATAAATTATATATATTTTTTATTTATTGTTTTATGACTTTACATTTTTAGCCAGGAAATAATAGCCAATACGTCTATGAAATTAGTATTTTTTAAAGTTTTAATCTCTCCAATACTATTATGCATGTTTAATGTCATGTAATATTTTTCAAAACATAAAAATTGTTACATTCTTAATAATTTATCAGAATTCATCAATCTTTCAATAAAACAATTTTGTAACCATTAATTCATTTCAATAAATGATTGTAACTATCAAATAAAAGTTGATTAGCAAAATTATAACATATATGTCAACATTCATGTTTTCCATTTACAGACCAGTCTTAAACTTTGGATTTAAAAATTACTATAAACTATATTAAAAATTTTAATACAGATATTGTCTTGTATTGACATTAAAATATATTTGTGTGTAAGACTTAACTAATGTATATATTTTAATATATTAATTTCTTTTTTAGTTTAGTAATTTATTGCTTTTCATTGCCCCAGCAATAATATTTTCTCAAAAGTATAAACCTTTAAAAAAATTAATTTTTCTATAAGAAACTTGTTTAATTTTAAGGAAATTAGAGCAAAAAGTGTTGATTCCTCAATGAAACTTAAGTATTGGTACTTTCTCTCCATTTTGCTCATTTTGACTGTGCTAGACATGTTGTCATTATAAACTATGTATTAACCTCTTAAGCACTGTTATTATACAGAAAAGTTCCTGATAACACACAGCAAGAAAGATGGATAATCACAGAATAATCTACTCAGAACTGAATTTGCCCCCAAACCAGAAGAACCAGGAGAGAAACTCTAAGAGCAATAAAAGCTCCATTTTAGTAACTGAACAGGAAATAACCTATGTGGAATTAAGCCTTCAAACTGTTTCTCAGGATCTTCTAGACAATGACAAAACTTTCCTCAGCAAAGGTAAGGCATTTCAAAGATCCCCAATATAATTGTTCAGAATGAGCGTCTTGGGTAACAGTATATGGGAAAAGAGCAGGTAGTGTTCACTTTTTTTAAATTTATTAATAACACAGTTCCAAGACGAGTTATGCTGTTTTAAAATGAAATATGGCTGCTATTTTTACCCTGAAATTGTTGAAATCTGTATTTTTTTTCCAACAAATTACAGGGCATTATATTTACTCAAAAGGCAATGGTACACTCTAAGAAAAACATTATTGTGGGTTATGCAGTTTGGGGTCCAAGTTTATCTATATGATTCTTATGCATGTGGGTTCTCTTGTCTACAAATCTTGTCAATAACTATCTCCATCTCTCTTTTCTCTGAGTTTTTATTTCTTTTCCTATAGATTTATCATCAGCTCCAGAGAAGCTCATTGCTGGCATTCTGGGAATTATCTGTTTGGCATTAATAGTGACCATGGTAACAATAGTTACTGTTCTTTGTAAGTATATTTTAGAAAAATAAAGGAGAGCTTTTCAGCTAAATACATAGAAATGCCTCTAATTATTTTGCAATATTGAGGAATAGAATTCTCATTTTTATATTTGTTTTTGAACTAAATGTGGAATGATTTTTCTGAATTTGTAAAAAGTATAATTAAAGAGTAATTATGAAAAATTATTTGTTTTAAATTAGATGCATATGTTCTGATTTCAAACTCCAAAAAGATGTTTTACAAATTGAAAACCCTTGATGAGAAATAGAAATTAAATTTTGAAAGTTGGCTAAATAAAGTACTGTATGAGATATTGAATTCTGGTTCTTTGCACTATTAAAATATTTTTTCAAAATCTTAATTACTTTATATATTTTTGTCATACAGTTCTATAGTTTCCTATATCTGAGCAATATTCCAAGTTTCAAAGAACTAACATTATTACGACTTATTCATGTACTAATTTTGTAAAAGATTATTTTAAATTTTCTAGCTACAGAAACACAGGAGCAGACCAATTCTTTCCAAAATGAAAGCAAACAAAAAGGTATGTAATGATTTCCAAAGTACTGATAATAACAAAGTTTTAATTTTGTATTGTTCTTTTGAAATGAAAAAATAACCAGAGATATATTCAGGAGAAGAATTATAAAATTTAGCAATAGAAGTCTGTAAATAAAGAATATAGGAGCTTATTTTCTTTTCTTTAGCAATGAATTAAATACTAATTCATAAACACTTTGCCCTTTTTTGTATTTGTTGAAATTTCATATTGTTATGAAAACATGAGATAAATAATTTTTACTGTTATATAAAAGGTATGTCTGTTCAGTGATATAAAAATGTGTGTATTTGTGACGGTTAGTCTGCTGGATAGATTCATGTGTGAACACAATTAGGGGATGAAAGGCTTCTGCTTTACAAAGTGTACGTGTGTGAGTTAGTGAGTTTTTAATTATATGTACCATCCTGTGAGAATACCTAGATATGTTATGTACATACATGATATACTTTTGTAAATTTACACCATAAGTGTCATTTTAAACTATTCATATTGCTTCTGGGTAATTTACAATGTTTCCTCAGCATATAATGGCAGCTGTCCAGAGGAATGGTTTACATATTCCAACAGCTGTTATTTCATTGGAAAGGAAACAAAAACTTGGGATGAGAGTATGATGACCTGTGCTTCTATGAACTCCAATCTGCTTTATATAGATGATGAAGAAGAAATGGTATGACTTTAAATGTTTCAAGTACCTTATTAAAAGGTTATTTCAGCCTGTAAAACATTTGAGGAATCTATTTTCTTGTACATATTTTGTTGAAATATTTTCAACTAAGCAGATTATATTGCTTGATTTTAAAATAGTTTATTTGTATTCACCATCTGCTGATGCACATTTCATTACTTTTTCATAGAAACTATGCTTCCATACATGCCTTAATTCTAAAAGACATCTTGCTATTTAATTTTACTATATATGAAGAAAATTAAGTATATCTTAATTGTGCAGGTTGATCACAAAATGAATATACTCATGAAATATAAATGTCATGAAACAAAAGTTTTCAGCACTGCTCTTGGATATGTGCTCATCACCGCTACCTCTTCTCAAAAACCAGTGGCCTGTGTTTTAATATTACAAATATTGGTAAGTCAGGTGCTAGGTAACAGCAGACCTACTTCATTTTCTCTGTTGGTGGAGATTTGAAGATATCCAGCCACTCTGTTGAGCCCTGGGCCTCAGATTTCAAAGCATTTCAGCATTCCATTTCAAGCATTATTCAAAAACAAATGTAAAAATGGCCAACAAGCATATAAAATACCCCAAATCAGTAATTATCAAATAAATGTAAATGAAAACTACAATGAGATGCTAACTTACACCTGTGAAAATTACTATCAATAAAGGGAAAAAAATAACAGATGATCACAAGCATGTGGAGAAAACAGAACATTATACACT